AAGAATCATAAAAGCTTGTAGACATGATGAAAAAGTAAATTCTCATATAAATAGTTAATAGACTAGTCGACTTGGCATTGAGGTGCCAAATAAATTTAACATCGCGCTATGGTCGGAATGCCTTTTTTTCTGACCCGAACTATTTATGCTAATTTCAATTTAAAGCAGGGACCGATAGCGCGTTGTTTTAGTTCTGCACGAGAATAAAATGTAATGTCAAGAACGTTCCCACAAAATAGTCCAAAGTATTGAGAGCAGTTTGAACGGGAACAAAATGAGCACAAATGGTTCGGGAACGTTTCGGTAAAGAGCCAAATTCGAACAAAACTCTCGGAAGCGTTCCCACGAAGAACAGCATGAGACCGAAACTTGCGGTTACGTTTCCAATGAGAACAAAATAAGAACGAAAGTATCGACAACGTTTTCAAGGAGGATCAAATAAGAACAAAAGTCTGGGGAATGTTCTGCTAGAGAACAAAACGAGAATAAATGCTTTGAGAATTTTGCTTTAAGAATGAGAGGGACGCAGATGCAGAGATGAAAATTTACCGCTATGAGCAAAAATGTGTTTTGGCTACCTTTCTTTGCGAATAGTTCCGAGCAGATTTGTTCCCGTTTCGTTCTCTGTCAGAAAGTTCCTGAAACACTAGTTCCCAAATTATTCTTCGAGAGAAAGTTCCTTAGACTTTTATTCCCGTTTTGTTCTTTGCCAAAACGTTCCGGAGACTTCTGTTTCCATTTTGTTCTCTTAGAAATGTTCCCGGGAGTATTGTTCGCATTTTGTTTTCTTTGCGAAAGTTCCACAAGTTTCTGTTCTTATGTAACTCCCATTGAGAACGTTCTCAACAGTTTTGTTATCATTCTGATTTTGGTTTTGAAACGTTCTTGGGAACAAAACTATGAGAAACAAATTTAGTTTCGAGCATACCTTTTGTTCTCGGTCCCTGCTAAAAAGCCCGATATTCTTAATTTGCCTGCTGTAAAGTTAAAAAGTGCAACCCTTGCAGCAAAAAAATTGCTGCTGTGTCCCCTAGTGTGGGTAGTGGTTTTGAATCAACTTTTAGAGAGACTAATAGGAAATTGCTCCTATGCATATGGATATGATGATGACCTTGTTAACTGTAAGTCTACTCTAAACCTAACTCTAGCATGTTACGCTGAAAAGGGTCTGTCAATTAACACAACGAAGTCCATCATCGTCCCATTTACCAAAGGAAGGAAATTCAACTGACAAGAGGTGAACTAACTATCTGGTACACTGGTGGATCCAAACTTGAGGACGGGAACACTTGGGCCAGCGTTTATCGACCTAAATTTCAAAAAAAAGGGTGATGTTTGATAGCCAGACAGCGTTAGGGGTATTTAACTTTTGTAAAGCGTTGTAAAAAAAAAAAAACATTGTGGTGGGTTCCGGGCCACGAGAGTTTAGAAGACAACGAAAATACTGACACTTTAGCGTAGTGCGATGCCCAACTCAGTCTGCCCAGCCCTCATCCTTTCTGTGATTCGTCCATAGCATGCACGATGCTATGGAGTTGGGAGCAAAATGCAATTAAAAAGAATTATAACTCCCTCCATTGCCATTTTTCAATGACTGCTAAATCTTAGCAGCGAGGGTTTAAGAACTCCCACCGAGGACCGAGGACAGGACACTGCAGGCTGAGGTACCATCTACACATAATGACACTCACTGAGGAGACGAAGTGCAGGTTTTGTAATCCGGTGTAGGAAACCTTTGAGCATATGTTATGTGATTGGCCGCATATAACTCGACTTAGGTTTAGAACGGTTACCATCTCCTTTAAGAATCTGGAACACGACACCCGCCAAAGTTGGATTGATTATTTAAGAGTTAGCACAATAGTCCTAGTTAGGTCGCAGCGCAATATGCCCTAAAAATAGCAATAATAATAATTAGGTCACTTGCAGGCACTGCAAGCTTTAGCAAGGACATTCCGAAATATTCGTTTCGTAACCGGTACTAGGAATTCGGGTTTTTCGAATTTGGTAACCGGAACAAAAAAGAAATTTCATTTTGGAAATGACTGAAAAAACTGAGCGTAACATCTCCGCTCTTCGCAAAATTGGTAGCCGGTACTTAAAACCCGAGTTTTTCGTAATCGGTAACCGGTACAAAAACCGACTTGATGGTTTTTAATTAATTTAAAATATTTTTCGAATTTGGTAAGCGGTAGATGCTCTAATAGCAATAATAAGAAAAATTAGGTCGCTTACAGGTACTGCAAGCTTTAGCAAGGACATTCCAAAATTTAGAATTTGGTAACTGGTACAGAAAAGCAATTTCAATTTTGAAATAACCATCAAAAATTAGCGTGACCACACCGTTCTTCTCAAAATTAGTAGCTGGTACTTAAAAACCGGGTTTATAGTAATCGGTAATCGGTACAAAAACCTACTTAATAATTTTTAAATAATTTAAAATATTTTCTGTCAAAGTGAGGGATAGGCATTTTTATTTTTTTTTTTTAAATAGGTTTCTGAACAGCATGCTACCTTTTTTGATACTGTGAGGAATTTTTTCCAGGTACACATAAAAATAGAGCCAAATTGACTATACTGTTTGCAAGAAGGTACATGAAATAAATTTAAATGTTTATTTGCGTTAACAAGTATTCCACGAAGGGCCGATTGCTCAAAGCCCGGTTGCCACTAATCCCCGGTTAAACATCGTTATCGACGTTACCGACACCGTGTTATATGCACGGAGTCGAAAACATCGATAACGATGTTAACCGATGATTACTGTCAACCAGGCTTTGAGCAACCGGCCCTAAAAGTTTGCTATTTATATGGTGCTCATGCAAACATACACGCTAAATATCAAATATTCGCGCTTGCATGCACTGCGCCACATTCGCCCTAAAATGAAAATCTACGAACCGAAACGAATTTTCGCTTGATTCGATTGAGCTTTGGTTATGATTTGTTTTTGCTTCGTAGCGTTTCCACTTGGACGACGACGATGGCTATGATGGCGATGCTGCTGACGAGCTGAGAGACAGGCACACAGACGGACAGAGCATTTCAAGTAGATTTGTTTTTGCACCGATAGATTTATAGGTAGGATTGCAAGTTTGTTGTGTATTGTGCACACACTTCGACGATATTTGTTTTTGGTTTTATTCATGGTGTTTTGCTATAACCACCGAAAGAGGTATGTACATATACACACACAAACCTATAGCAGCAAGGACTCGCCATGGCGGAAGCAACAACCCTCGGGCAAGCTTTACACATACAAAAAAAAAACACACCGAAATGTAAAGTAAAATCGAAATCGCAAAAAAAAAAAACAAAATATGATTCACGAATTCAGAAATTCCATTCGGTCCATTGCGCTTCGCTGAGATTGAAAATCGCCGCAAATATTGGACGAGTGAGTATGCACATGTGTAAGTAAGCGTGTGTGTGTGTGGGCAGAAGGATCAAAATATTGTTGAAGTAGCCAGCAGGAGTCGACTTGTAAGCAAGGTGTGCGTGTATGTGAGCGCTACGCTTTACATGCGCAGGAGCATGTCTACTGTGGCTACGGTGACCATCCGTACTTTTGTTTTTACTGGTAAAAACAAACTTTGAAGAAAGAGCATAGAGTACAAAAAAGCTCATACTTCGCTATTTACTTTGTGGAGGCGAGTGCATTCGCCATGCTTATTGAATAAAGTGAAACAAAAAAAAATAAAAATTTTAATGAAGATTTTTCAAAGCTTATTTTGCGCTATCGGTAATAGGTTACGTTAATTTACGTTGACTGCCGCTCTCCATAGGGAATGAAGAGAGCACGGCTACTGCCAGAAGACCCATTGTGATATATGTAATGTGTGTCATATCTACTTTCCCGTGTAAATGATACAGTTATTTTTTCCATTAACAGCAGAGAAGGCTGTAAAGACTAGTTCGGGTGCATTCAAAAACGTCAAAATACACAGCATCAGTCTCTTTTATTTCTAAACCTCAGTCGATTATAATGCCAAATATGAGCCACAAACGGTTATTAGTTTTCAACTAGGTTGCGCCTCTTAAGAAATCTATTTTCTGTATTTTTTAAATATATATATTTTTGTGTTGATAATTAAATATTTTGCTTTTTTTTTAATTGAATATTTAAAAAAAAAAACATAATTTTTTATTTCATTTCAATTTTAGAACTCATTTTTTTTATTTTCTCCTTTTTTTTGTTTTTTAAATTCAAAGAAAACCATTTTTTCAAATTTAATTCAATTCTAAGAAAGACATTTGTCAGGATTGCCCTGTAAATCCCAGCCTGGTTGTTAGAATAACGCGCTGATAGAGTACATATATTATTACAGAAGACTTCCTAGATCAGAGGGGAGTCTTCTTTAAACATATCTATTAATTCAGCTGGGAAGGCACCGCAGTACCCTAGTAGACACAGGCTTATTCTTAATTGATATTGATTTCGATTTTAATATCTAGTTTAAAGCGGTTATGGGCACCGTCTTGCCAGTTTTGAGCCATTGCTGAAGATTGAAATCGAACTAGGTTTTTACACTTTACCAATCACTCTTAACGGGAATTCATGTCGAAAACTTAATATCAACGCAGAAGAAGAAGTAAGTACTCTTAAACTAGTTGGATATATGTAGTACATATATGGAATTTTAGGGTGAAAATTTATTAGCATATTTTTTTTCGTTGGCAGAACTGCGTTACATGTTTGATAAAAGAAAAGTTTTGAAAAAAATTCATCCAAATCAAAAATGGTCGATTCCAACCATTGGTCGATTTGACATGGATTGAACCATGTATATAATAAGAATTTTTACTTCAAAGATATGGTCACCGTAACTATGACGCTTTATCTATATCTCAATACAAACTTTATACACACATATTCAGACTTTTGTATGCGTTTTCGATCTTTCTGCTTCGTTTCATGTGCACGTTCGACTTTCGTTTTTTTTTTTTATTACCTTTTTTCTGATTTTTTCGATGGTTTATCAACACCAATGCTCACCAAACTCGCCCATAAGCACTCGAATATTTGGTCGTTGTCTTAGTCAGTACTCGCTAGGCTCTGTAGACATCCACCAAATTTACTAACTGACATTTACAGCAAACATGACAGCAACAGTCAGCAGGAACAAGAGCTACACAGACAAAACAACAACAGCAACAGCAGCAGGCCTACTGAGGGGCCACATACAAAATTTGATTTTTGTGTCAGTTAGTCAGAAAACTGCACTGAATTATGCTGAGCCGGTCGGGGTGTTGTGGGTGTGCTAGGCTAGGCACGGAATGGCTGTATGCATGAATGATTTGTTGGCGATTCGGTTAGATTTTTTGATGTTTTACTATTTTTGCTGGCCAAGAGGTTGTGAAGCCATTGGATGGTCGTGACGGTATGGACTGACATTTTGCATGCAATTATTTATTATAATTATAATGATTTTCGTTTTCAAGTTGCGTTAATTGCCACTGCAACACAAGGACATGGCCAACAACTGCAGACAAGAAAAACAAACCAGAAACACAACATTGCCTCTAACTACTCAGGTGTCTGAGGTACAACTTGGTGAGTTAGGTTATGGCGGTTGTCGCAAATAAGGGCCCACTCGGTCCATAAGTATTAGTTTTTTGAGACCACTTAGTAATGAAAGCTAACTGTGTGTTTAACAGCGAAGTTTTTCACTTCGCAGATGTTAATCCTTGGGTAACTCCTCTAATCGGACCGTGTCGTGCCACACACCAAATGTGAAAGTTGCAACTTTATGAGGCAAAGAAGATCTCCTTACTGCCTTCTGAGCAAGTAACTACGGCGCTCCTTGTTGCAGACTTCTTCAGCCATTGACCCATCCGACGCAGCTACTTACCACCAGGCAGCATTATCCACAGCGGTAATCGCTACAGGAACAAGGTAGACCACACAACTTATCTCCCACCCCACGCACAGTGACAGGCCTCCCAATGCACACGGCGCTACCACAACTGAACTGCAACAGACTCCAGGGCAAGATCGAAGAGATAATCCCCTTTATGGGTCGGTATGACATACTGAAAGATCTGGTCCATGTAATGGAGTTGCACAGTAATTTGACTCTGTTGAATTCCGACGCCAAAAATTTGCTCCGTAAAATAGTGATGAAGACAATCCTGGAGGTCCTATATCAGATTAGATATATGGCTGGTATATGATATAGTGCCTAGGACCGAACAAACTCTATAGTACATATCTAAACCGAATTTCGGGCTGATAACTTCAAATCTATGTGCGATTCGTGACCGATTTTCGAAGGGCTCTTTGGTTCTTTGTACTTATTTTTTGGGTTATTCTGAGATCATTTTCCGGTTCTTTCGGAACCGTTTTTCAGTTCTTTTGGAATACAGTTGCAGTTCTTCCCAAACCGTTTTTTTTTTTGTTCTTTTGGAATCGAGTTTCGGTTCTTCCGGAACCGTTTAATGGTTTTTTGGGAATAAAATTTCTGTTCTGCCAGAACCGTTTCTCTGTTCTTTTGGAATCGAATCTCGGTTCTTCTGGAACCGCTTTTTTTGGTTTATTTGTATTCGAGTTTCGGTTCTTCTAGAACCGTTTTTCTGTTCTTTTGGAATCGAGTTTTGGTTCCGTTAGAACCGTTTTTCGGGTCTTGTAAGAACCGGACCGGTCGGTTCCTGAAAGGACCCGGTTATTCGGTTCCGGTTTTAGATTTCACACATCCTAGATATATATTTTTATCTAAGCTTGAAGCTAATAATGCCTAATATTGCCATTAAGTCTGTAACTTTTATCTTTAAGTTGATTTTGTACCGCTACTCTGTAAGGATTTGTTAGCATATGTAGACTTCAAAAATAAATAAATAAATAAATAAAAGCACCCCCCTTGAGACTCAAAATCGTAGTACGCTATAATTAAAAAAAGAAAAATTTTGGCTGACCAAATTTTGTCGCCATTAAAGCGGCTGCTCATTGCACACTCTTCACTCACTCCACCCAAAACCCAATGTCCAGTTCGGCGCCTTTTAAGTGCTTCCATCCTGTGAACGCCAACAGCTGCTCACCGGAACGGCATTATTTCATTTATTAACTAACAGACACTATTTCATAGTGCAAGAACAACAACAAAAAACAAACAAAACAACAACAACAAATATGTTAACCCACATTAACAGCAAATAAAAATTAAATCAACGCAACGAAAAGCAAAGAAAAAAACTGTATGTGTCATAATGTTTGTTTGTTGTTTAAATTTATGATGGACCCAAGGACAACAAATCAAGATTTTAGTGTTGTCTGCACTTTAGAAGAACAAAAAGACACCGATGTATACACATAAGAGTGACTCGCCAAAAATTAGGGGCGGTTTTTCCACCGGAATTATAAAATATGTATAGGTATTATATTTTAAGGCGGAAGCGAAAATACTTCCGAAAAATATAGATTCATCTGAGTTGGTTTTTTGGAAAAAATATTTTTCAAAACTAAATTTATTCATACAAAACTCGATTTTCGGATATATTTTTTAATCGGTGGAGCTCACGTAAATCATAATATTTTTCTGAAATATTTTAATTAAACTCTCAAAATATAATCAATTTTATAATTCCGATGGAAAAATAGTACAGATTTTTTTTTTTTTTTTTTGGAGAGTGATGCACCCTAATCTATAACATTCGTCGTCGTTCGCGCTATGAAACATTTGGAAATTCCGTACATTGCTGATTTTTTATTTATTTTTATTTGAATTTTGGGGCGACACGGCAGCCTAACGCCTCTGTAGTGTACTCCTATAGCACTGATGGAGGAAAGGTTGCTGCGGCGGCGGCGGCGATGTGGCTGGAAGGTGGTTGTTATTATGCTTTGTGGTGCAAACAGTGGTTCAGACAACACGAATCGTCATCCTGCTATCGGTTACGCTGGCGTTGTTGGCTAATCGATTTCGGTGGCGTGACGTCATCATGTCGAATTTGGTGAACGAACAAACACACACACACACGTACACATACAGAGACATTTTCGCGCAAACATTTGTACGTACTTATGAGAGTGCTTAGAGTGTTTTTACTCTAAAAGGTCCTTTTTGCAAAGCTGCTCGTGTTCCTAATCAAATTTTGATGCTTGCCACAAATTTCGTTTCCCTCTCGTTTTGCACACCAAAATTTGGGTGTTTCACCGCTGTTTTGCATATTTTCTGCCACTACTAATTTTTATAGTTAGCATGACGAAATTAATTTATGAATATTAATTACCATTTCTCATGTAGCACGCCAATATTTACATGCATAGATACAAATATATATTTTATGTGTGAATAATGTGTATGTATATGTATATGTACCATTCTCCATAAAAAAATAAGTACTGTTTTTCAACGAAATTATAAATTCTATTATATTTTAAGACTTTCGCCTAAATATTTCAGAAAAATAGATAGATTTAAGTGAGCTGTAGCAATTTGAAAAAAAACCTCGAGTTTTTTATAAATAAAATTAGTATTAATTAAAAATGTCATTACGTCAAATGATAGAAGAAGGAAGGTTTGCATATAAATGTTTAAAAAATTTATCGACGGAATCAAAAGAATTACTCACGTAAATCTTAAGTGCTTGGTTGACTGATCTTTGCTCGGAATCATACACTATTTAAAGTAATCAAGGTTGGGGGTATCAAATAATGGTCAATTGGATTGCTTTTATTTAAAATACTTTGTTATTTAACATTACACCTATTCAATACGTCTTTCCATACATATTATGCCAATAAAAAAATATTATCAATACTTTAATATTCTAACTTAAGAAGTACCTCAGTATTCAGTGAAACAAAATGAAAATAAAACACTTAAAAAAATAATAATGTTAATCAACAAAAATATCAACATTTTTAATAAAAAAAAAAAATTTAATTTTTGAACCTAACCGGCGGTTTCACCAGCAAATGGAAAATGATTTTTTATTTTCTGTCAATTTTCATATAAAATTCAAAAAATTAAAATCATTTTTCATTTAAATTGCTTTCATGAAATTGGTTGTAATAAATGAAAAAGTATTTGGCATCGAAAATTAGATGGCCACCCTCTTAAAAATACGCTACGTAGAAGAGCGCAAATTTTCTGTGTGTACATACGTACATACATATCAAGTTACAAAAAAATCCTCGTTGAAATTAGGAAGATCCATATTGGTATTTAAAAAAAAAAACGTGGCAAACCTCAACGAAAATATTTCTCCACTAAAGTTCTCAAAAATATATTTCATTTGATATGCATATTTAGATATTTTATTTAAATTTTGTAGACTGGAAAATAAGTGGCAACCTTACTCTAATATCTTAAGGGACAACAATTACTATATAGGCAAGAATTGTTTAAGAGCTTTCTTCTAGCCATAGTAAAGAGTAATACTATACCTTAATTTTCTAAACAAACAACTAAATAAATATATCATAGAAAATAGGTGGCAACTCTATTCAAAGATGTTTCTGAATTGGTTACATTCAAAACTCTTTCCATCCAATACCCATATTGGGATGTGTTATTTAGTATGTAAAGGTGGCAACGTTACACAAATATTATTTTCGGAGATAACACCTATCTAGATAATCTTAAAATGCAAAACATTATCTATATACAAAATTTCAACAAAATCGTTAGATCCGTTTCTGAAAAGCCTTCCGTTTAAAGTAATAAGACATTTTTCCGAAATATTTTAAAATATACGATATAGATAGATTTTATTATTTCGGTTGAAATACCGCAATTATTATTTTTTTTTTGGTGAGGCACCCTAGTGTACATATACATATGCAGTATGCAAGTTTAGTAAATTGCAAGCTAAATATTTTGTATAACTCGTCGTGCGTACTAAGTCCGCCGACGGAAAATTTTTGATTTGTCCTTGAAGTTCTGTTCAGCTCTCCATAATTTTTATAGATAATTATCCATCGGCCGTGATCTCGCCATTAGATGCACAACTCAATTTCAGAAGGGAGGGTGCAGTTAAAGGCAAAGTCATCTGTAGCCAAAATCTCGATGTTACAACTGCAAAGCGATGACGTGATCAAGAGGAGGAACTTTGAGATTACAAGTATCCTGATTGTTTATTGACGATATTGTGACATGACAGAAGAAGTTCTACTGCATCTAATTCTGGAATCAGACACGTTTGAATTATCCTCTGCCACCCACTTTACATAGCGTGTGATATTTAGTCTCACCGAATTAATTTCCAATTGGACAGAATTCTGTCGAAGCTATAACTGAGAGTTATGGCGTTTTGGACTTAAGAGGAACACTTAAATCCGGAAAAACCTGGGGGATATTTATCGATCTTGTTATCGATATTTATCGATTTTGTTATCGATATTTATCGATTTTGTTATCGATATTTATCTATTTTGTAATCGATAGTGTTATCGATATTTATCGATTTGGTTATCGATATTTATCGATTTTGTTATCGACGTTTTTATCGATTTAGTTACCAATGATATTATCGATGGTGCTATTGAAATTTGTATCGAATTTGTCATCGATTTTGTTATCGATATTTTGATAGACGTTATAATCGATTTTGTTATCGATAGAGTATAAAGATAAAAATGAAGATAATGAAAAAACAGAATAACATGAATGTTATTAAAACGAACAGTGGTAGAGGTAGGGACCTATGTACATTGATAGAAAAAAAGCGAAAAAATATAACCTTAAGCAAAAGCAGATGTGTGTATGTATAGATAGATAAGTAACGTGGCGACGGTGACTTGACATATCCAATTGGCGTCAGTTGGCAGAGAAGAGAACCGACTGACGTGCTTTGTTGGACTCGGCCCAAATCGCTTAGGCCAAATAAGAATAAGAAGAAGTTTAGTGAAGATTGAATACATTTAACTGTGATTCCGAAATGCGTGACCCTCTAGTCCGAGATGTGGGATGGCGGAACAGAAGGAAGAAACAGAAGTCTGCGGTCGATAACTTCCTTCCTGATAACAATAAATAACAAAAGTAGAGACATTTCCACTCTTATAAATATGCAGCTAAGTGTTCAAAAAAAAAACACATAAGAAAAAAAACCGAACTTCGCTGCACAGACTCAATTATGACGCTGGGGTTCATTCGCTTTTCCTCAGCAAAATTTCCCTTCATATTGGAGGAAGTTATTCTACCTCGTTGCCGTGATCCATACGTATAGAAGGATATCATCCAGAGTTTTTCGGCCGTGCACTAGGCAAGAAAGGAACTTACACTATTTCTTTTTTTGTTCAAATTTTAAAGTGCATTTCTGTGTGAATTCACAGATGAATGAAAACGAATGCCTTATGCATCATCATGACCGGATATATTTGACAAAAATAAATAATAATTATTTTAAACTCCTACTCCAACCCGAAGGAGGTGTAATAAAAGAGCATTTGATAAATATTTTTGGGCAAATGCCACTTACCATAATGCCGATAAGGGCCTACGTCTACATAACTAGTACTCAATTTCGACACACACGATTTCAAGTTCACATTTGATTATTAGAAATTACAAAACATTTATGCGTCTGCAACTACGCATTTTTCATCTTCACGCTAATCTGCAGGATCTCTCAGCGAGAAGAAAAAAAAAACACTCCAAAACGCATTTATCGCGCTCAGCTGGCACCCACTGTCAGCCAGCAAAGTCGCTAATGAGTTACTCGAAGAAAGAAGCATATTTTCAACGTTTTGAGTGATGCTCAGCAGCAACATTATCAGCGCCACAATCAATTTGAGACAACACACGAATTTATGCGCCCACACAACTAACTACACAGATTCTACGAGATTACATAAAATGCCAGACGATTGGGGGGAC